CTCAATGCAGGGGACTGGACTTGATGGCCTGTCTAGGTCCCTTTCAGTCCTACATTTCTATGCTTTCATGTGCAGATGGGGAGGAGGAGCAGGATAATGAGTAGGTGGAGGGGTTCATGGCAGGGAGGGGAAGGAGGAACAGTGGGACCATGGTGTCGATGGGTAGGAGGAGCAGGAGGAGGAGGTGGAGAGAGATTGTGGTTGGAATGAGTAGGAGAAGCAGAAAAATGATGAGTGGATAAGGGGGCTTGTGGTAGGGATGAATAGGAAGAGCAGGATGATGATGAGTAGGTGGATGGGGATCCTGGTGGGGATGGGTAGGAGGAGCAGGATGATGATGAGTAGGTGGATGGGGATTATGGTGGAGATGGGTAGGAGGTAGGGCTGTCAAGCGATTAAAAAAAATAATCGCGATTAATCACGCTGTTAAACAACAATAGAATACCATTTATTTTAAATATTTTTGGATGTTAACTACATTTTCAAATATATTAGTTTAAATTACAACACAAAATAGAAAGTGCACAGTGTTCACTTTATATTTGTTTTTGATTACAAATATTTGCACTGTAAAAAAAATTATTTTTCAATTCACCTCACAAGTACTGTACTGCAATTTCTTTATCATTAAAGTTGAACTTACAAATGTAGAATTATGTACAAAAAAACCTACATTCAAAAATAAAACAATGTAAAACTTTAGAGCCTACAAGTCCACTCAGTCCTACTTCTTGAATCAGCCAATCACTCAGACAAACAAGGTTGGTTACAATTTGCAGGAGATGCCTACTTCTTGTCTACAATGTCACCTGAACGTGAGAACAGGGGTTTGCATGGCACTGTTGTAGCTGGCGTTGCAAGATATTTACATGCCAGATGCGCTAAAGATTCATCTGTCCCTTCATGCTTCAACCACCATTCCAGAGGACATGCGTCCATGCTGATGATGGGTTTTGCTCGATAACGATCCAAAGCAGTGCGGACTGACTCGTGTTCATTTTCATCAACTGAGTCAGATGCCACCAGCAGAAGGTTGATTTTCTTTTTTGGTGGTTTGGGTTCTGTAGTTTCCGCATCAGAATGTTGCTCTTTTAAGACTTCTAAAAGCAAGTTCAACATCTCGTCCCTCTCAGATTTTGGATGGCACTTCAGATTCTTAAACCTTGGGTCGAGTGCTGTAGCTATTTTTAGAAATCTCACATTGGTACCTTCTTGCATTTTGTCAAACATGCTGTGAAAGTGTTCTTAAAACGAACATGTGCTGGGTCATCATCTGAGACTGCTATAACATAAAATATATGCAGAATGCGGGTAAAACAGAGCAGGAGACATACAATTCTCCCCCCAAGGAGTACAGTCAGAAATGTAATTGATGCATTATTTTTTTAACAAGCGTCGTCAGCATGAAAGCATGTCCTCTCAAATGGTGGCCAAAGCATGAAGGGGCATACTAATGTTTAGCATATCTGGTATCTAAATATCTTGCAACGCCAGCTACAAAAGTGCCATGTGAATGCCTGTACTCACTTTCAGGTGACATTGTAAATAAAAAGCAGGCAGCATTGTCTCCTGTCAATGTAAACAAACTTGTTTATCTTAGCGATTGACAGAATAAGAAGTAGGACTAAGTGGACTTGTAGGCTCTAAAGTTTTACACAGTTTCATTTTTGAGTAGTTATGTAATAAAAAAAATCTACATTTGTAAGTTACACTTTCACGATAAAGAGATTGCACTTCAGTACTTCTATGAGGTGAATTGAAAAATACGATTTTTTTTGTTTTTTACAGTGCAAATATTTGTAATCAAAAATAAATATAAAGTGAGCCCTATGCACTTTGTATTCTGTGTTGTAACTGAAAATAATATTGAAAATATAGAAAAACATCCAAAAATATTTAATAAATTTAAATTGGTATTCAATTGTTATAAGTGCAATTAATCACAATTAGTTTTTTTTAATCATGATTAATTTTTTTGAGTGAATCGTGTGAGTTAACTGTGGTTAATTGACAGCCCTAGTAGGAGGAGAAGAAGGATGATGAATAGGTGGATGGGGATCACAGTGGGGATTGGTAGGAGGAGCAGAGGGATGATGAGTACGTGGATGGGGATCATGCTGGGGATCGGTAGGAGGAGCAGAGAGATGATGAGTAGGTGGGTGGGGATCCTGGTAGGGATGGGTAGGAGGACTAGGAGCATGATGAGTAGCTGGATTGGGAATAAGGGGGGGATGGGTAGAAGGAGCAGGAGGAGGAGGATGAGAAGGTGGATGGGGATCACAGTAGGGATCGGTAGGAGCAGCAGGAGGATGATGAGTAGGTGGAAGGGGATCACGGTGGGGATATATAGCGGGAGCAGGAGGATGATGAGTAGGTGGATGGGGATCCTTTTGGGGATGGGTAAGAGCAGCAGAAAGATGATGAGTAGCTGGTTGGGGATGGGTAGAAGGAGGAGGAGGATGAGAAGGTGGATGTGGATCATGGTCAGGATGGGTAGGAGGAGCAGGAGGATGATGAGTAGGTGGATGGGGATCATGGTGGGTATGAGGAGGAGGAGGAGCAGGGGGATGATGAGCAGGTAGATGGGGATTACGGTCGGGATGAGTAGGAGGAGCAGGAGGATGTTGAGTAGGTAGATGGGGATGATGGTGGGGTTGGGTAGGAGGAGGAGCAGGAGGATGATGAGTAGGTGGATGGGGATCATGGTCAGGATGGGTAGGAGGAGCAGGAGGATGATGAGAAGGAGGAGTAGGAGGAGGATGAGTAGGTGGATGGGGATCACGGTGGGGATGAGTAGGAGGAGCAGGAGAATGATGAGTAGGTGGATGGGGATTACGGTGGGAATGGGGAGGATGATGATGATGATGAGTATGTGGATGGAGCTCATGGTGGGGATGGGTAGAAGGAGCAGAAGGAGTATGATGAATAGGTGGATGGGGATCCTAGCGGGGATGAGTAGGAGGAGCAGAG